TCCTGCCATTTATACAGAATTTACCGAAGCCTCATATGATATATTGGCATTAAAACTTCTGGAAGCAATTTCTGATAATTTCTCCCCCCAAATTCTGGAAAGGCTTTGTGGTGTGGCAGCTGATGGCCCTTATCAGGCTTCTGGATTCAGAAGTTCACTTTTTCGGCAACTGGAGATCCCAGAGCATGTAGACAAAGTGATCGCTCTCCCCATAACGTGGGATACAGCCCATGTTTTAAACCTTCCTGTTACCGAAGTAAGAGATGCTAACTCACCTGGTGGAGAACATTTCCGTAGATTTATCAAGAGATGTAATGTGTTCAATCATGTTTTGGCAAATGGAAAGGGGTTTGCCTTTTTGCAGATGGTGGACAGTACTGCGAGACAACCTGTGTCATATGCTACTCAGCGTTTCATGAGTTCATCGTATGAGCAGTGGCTCAAAATTGAACAGAGCTACCAATCGTACTGGCAGGCATTTGAATTGTTACATCCACGGAGGGATGAAGACAAAGAGTGGCAATACATGATTGCTGGAAGTGATTTTGTGGCAGATCTTTTATCCTTTTTGGATATCATGGATCCTATTATTGATCTGATGCTGAGAGCCCAATCACTTGACACTCCAATCTGGAAGCTACAAATGTGGTGGCCTAAAGTCAGAGAAATTCTGCTAAAAGCTGTAAAAGGGAACCCCCTGGTCTTTCCTAGACTGTCAAAAGTCGAACACTCTTTGATACCTGCCTTAAAATTCAAAGGAGTTGAATTACTTCAAGGTTGGCTCATAACGAAAGATAATGGAAAAAATGCAGATGGAAATTCTCGCTTTACGTGGCATTTGCGTGACAGTAAAGATATCGAAGAAGATCGCAAGAATTTGGCCAAAGAGCTATGTGAAGCTTTGAATATTAGAATTGAATCGCTTGCTGAAAAATCACCATCAACATTTGAAGTATTTGATGCGGCGAATCTTGTTAAGCTTCACTGTGGAAAAAGAGTTAATAAAGAAATAAAATATTTTGTAGATGAAGGTGAGTATGAAGTATATGGAGTGGAAGAATGTAAGCGCATATTAACAACGATTAGCGAGCTAAAACATGTGAAGGAATCAGGGATGAATTTCGATTCAAGAATGGCGTATCTTTACATGTCCAGAATAAAAAACGCTGTTAAAGCAGGCATCTGGAATGGCAAGTGCCCAGAATGGTTTATTATAAGCCAAAATAATGTTAATTTACATACTCAAAATGCAACACTTGAAGAGTTTGAAGAAGAAGAAAGCAATACATTAGATTGTCAGTTCAAAATGGTATTTTCAAATGGAAAAGTTATGAAAGTGCGCTTACATGAACAGCGAATGTACCAATCATTTTACAACAACGAAGAAATCTGTCACATTGCAAGTAAGCCATCTTGCGCTCTAATTGACATTCTTTTGGCTAAGGGAGGGCCTGAAGCAATAGCTGAAAGCTTTTACAGCTCAATGAGATCGCAACAACGGTCAGGAGGGCAATCGAACGAAACACTGGCTAGAAGAACGAAGCTGCAATGGGCCTTGCCGTCACTTCAAAACTGCAAAAATATTATCAAGGATGGGATTAAAACTTACATTCAGGGAGATGATAAATTGCGGCCGCACCGACAGAACACGTTTTTTTCCAGTAGAAATAAGGATTATGTTGTATCAAAGGTAATTGATCGTATTGACAGTGATAAAGGCCGTTGTCCTTTCCTGTCTGATAATTGAAAGGTACTCTGGTATGAATAAGCTACGTACTAATATCTTATATTTCATTAACTCAACTGTTTTGTTTCTCTGTGAGATATGTTTGTGCATGAATGTATTGCCAAATCTTTGAAATTAATTGTTTGAAATCCAGGTTTTGTTCTTTTAATTTTTTATATAGCTAACTATTCTTTAAATCGTTTTCGTTAATTTATGAAATTTTAAGTGAAAATCTTGTTGTAGTTCTCTTGTCATTCCTCTCAAACCTTTATTATACGATTCTCAAAAAGAGGGTCACCAAAAATATTCGACCAGAAACGTTGGCTGTTGGCGTGCTGCTAGAAGCACCCTTTTTTAAGTCCACAAGACTTGGCGTAATTTATGAGTGCCAAAAAAAAGTGTCCGGCGTAGGATCAACATAGAATGCACCCTGGCATTAATCATTCTAGAAACCATTTTAAATGACTTTCTGCTTATTTGGGTGAAATTACACTAAAAACCGGTTGCTGAAAGGAGTCGCTAGACCCGCCACGAACGTGTTTCTCTGAATTTTTTACCTCTTGCGTAGTTTTCTGCTTAAAAGAATATGGATTGGCTGTATATCGATTTCTTTGAAACGTGCTTTCATTAACCACGAAATAACATCTTCATTAATCTTTTTGTTCTTCATCTAGATCAAAGATCGTTTCAAGCAATAATTATGACGCAGATGTGATTCTTGGACCTTCGAAACGAAATTGATGGCATTTATGCTGGCTTTAATCAAATGATGAAACAAGAAAAAACTTGACTGTGGAGAGAAGGACTAAAGTTATATAGATCAGCTGTTGTCCGTAAATTGTATTTTGTTAATTTGTTGTTAGAGTAAGATTCCTTTCTGATGCACGAAACTTGGCTGTTTTTTATCTTTCTATTTCTTAACTTCTTTGTTCCTGCAGTGTTTCAAAAGCTAATTGTGACGAAGATGTGATATGTGGACCTCAAATGTATAGAACTGCATAATAACTCTATAACTCTTTGGAGTTCAGATGAGGAGTCATTAATTCTTTTATGAAGTGTGTGCGGCAGATCCAGAGCATATTCTGTTGCTTGGGCTTGTTAAACGGTAAACCTCTCTTTTTCTCGGCAATGAAATAGACATTGAACCAAAGACGGAAAATTTTCATGAAGCCCATGAAAGACATAAGACTGCCATCAGATTGTGGGCGCATACCAAACTCCATTGTAGATAAAACAAGCTTCGATGGCTTCACTGCACAAGGCCAAACGCAAAAGCTGAAAAGGACCCTGGGACCATTTGGTTCAGCATGTTTTGAAAATTTAGAAGCTGTTTATCTTTAGTTGCAAAGGCAGACAAAGCTAGGTTTGGCACTATAAAGTATGGTTCAAATTTAACAATATTTCTTATGAATTGGCTTTTGTCTAACAATTTCACTATATACAGGTTTCCTTTTCACAAATAAGAATTGTTTAAGAAATGGCTTAAAGCTGTTAAGCGTGACAAATGGGTGCCAACATCGAATTCATACCAATTCATGGCAATCATTTCACAGATTCTGACTTTGCATACTCTTCGAGCTGACCTTATTCCCAGTCCTTGGGAAAAAATATTTGAAAAAAATTGCTGTCCCATCAATCTTCAACTTCCCTGAACATTTAAAAAGGAAGAAACCCCACAAAGCGTGAAGTGGTGACTGAGGATCTTCCCACAAAAGAATAAATTGAGTCCACAAAACGCCCTAAGATGCAAGATCACACGGAACTTCAAAACCGTTTGAAAAAGAAAGACCAACAAATTCAAAACTTAAGAAGGAAAAATTTAAGGAAGCAAAAAACCACCAAGGGCCTTATGCTTGAGCTGAATCAAGCCAAGCTTTTATCAGAAGAAAGCACCGAAGCCATGGTTTCCAATTTAGGTCACATGGCAACAAAATTGTTCAAAAATGAAGAAAAAACAAAATGTATGCTCGATCATCTTATTCAGACAAAATTAAGGAGTTTGCTATCACTTTGATTTTTTATAGCCCTAGAGCTGCATTCAATTAATGTCTCAGTTTTTCAATGTTTATTTTGAGTTGAAAACATATGCCAGTGTCTGCATCAATGACCTCATGAATGCCAATGCCTTGGTAAGAGACCAAATTCGTGCCTGGGCTGCCCATGGTGACTGTGAGCCAGGCTTTCTGCAAAAATCCTTGAGCTGCATTGGAGAAAAGGTTAAAGAGGGTCAAGGAGACTGTGTGGTAATCATTGATGAAATTAGCATAAGAGAGGAAACCAAATGGGACCCAACAAACAAATATTTGTGGGCAATGTTGATAATGGCTGTTTAAAGCCTGATAATATTGCAACTAATGCCCTATTCATAATGACTTCTGGTCTTAAGCAGCCATGGTATGCCCCCATTGCATAATTTTTAACAAACAAGCTTAATTGTGATATGTTTTGTCAACTTATCAAGGAAACTATTAAAATGCTTAGTGAGATTGGTTCAAAAGTTCATGCAGTTGTCTTTGATGGTGCAGCTAAAAATATTGGGATGGCAAAGAAACTTGGTTATAATATCGAAAAATTGGATGGTTCATTTCCTCATCCAGTGAATGCTATTGAAAAAGTTTACATCATCTTTGACATCTGCCACATGATTAAACTAACACGCAATGCTTTCAGTGAAATGAAAGTATTTTGCGCACCGAATGGGGATAAAATCTCATGGGAATTTGTCCTAGCTCTATATAAAACACAACAGAATGATGTGCTTCATCTTGGAAACAAAGTAAAAACTAGGCATGTCAAGTGGCAGGGCCACAAGATGAAGGTCAAAATGTATGCTAGATAATTATATTCAGACAAAATTAAGGAGTTTGCTATCACTTTGAATTTTTATAGCCCTGGAGCTGCAATCAATTATTGTCTCAGTTTTTCAATGTTTATTTTGAGTTGAAAACATATGCCAGTGTCTGCATCAATGACCTCATGAATGCCAATGCCTTGGTAAGAGACCAAATTCGTGCCTGGGCTGCCCATGTTGACTGTGAGCCAGGCTTTCTGCAAAAATTCTTGAGCTTCAATGGAGAAAAGTTTAAAGAGGGTCAAGGAGACTGTGTGGTAATCATTGATGAAATGAGCATAAGAGAGGAAACCAAATAGGACCCAACAAAACAAAAATTTGTGGGCAATGTTGATAATGGCTGTTTAAAGCCTGATAATATTGCAACCAATGCCCTATTCATAATGATTTCTGGTCTTAAGCAGCCATGGTATGCCCCCATTGCATACTTTTTAACAAACAAGCTTAATTGTGATATGTTTTGTCAACTTATCAAGGAAACTATTAAAATGCTTAGTGAGATTGGTTCAAAAGTTCATGCAGTTGTCTTTGATGGTGCAGCTAAAAATATTGGGATGGCAAAGAAACTTGGTTGTAATATTGAAAAATTAGATGGTTCATTTCCTCATCCAGTGAATGCTATTGAAAAAGTTTACATCATCTTTGACATATGCCACATGATTAAACTAACACGCAATGCTTTCAGTGATATGAAAGTATTTTGCGCACCAAATGGGGATAAAATCTCATGGGAATTTGTCCTAGCTCTATA